TCCCCACCCCCACCCTCCGCACCCCCCACACACATGCGCACACGCACAAACACATAATACTGTCTCACCGCGTTGTTATGTGAGGTGGATTTATCTATAGACAAAAAAATTTGGCAATGGTAAGTGGCTCTTTCTTGAAAGAAAAAAACCCCCTCGTTGCCCTTGGAAAAAAGAGCACCATTTTCCCCCTACAGTTCAGACCTTTATACCATGGTCTTCCCCAATTGCATTTTTTTTCTGCTACTGTTGCTCTGTCCCACCCCCCTCTCCACCTTCTTTACCCTTCCCCCCTCCCCGCCTTTTATTTTCCTCTTCCTCTTCCCTTTTCCTCGGTCAACGTAACTAACTCCTGTCAAAAACAATTTAAAGAACCGTGACCCGAGAAAAAAAAGCATGATAACAGGGTGCAGCACATAAACAGGGCGCAGTAGACCTAAAGACTGAAGAATATTAATGACTGTCTTGGGCTGACCAAAGATTCTCCGCTGTTGGAGAATCATTGCGGTGATGTTGTGTCATACTTAAATATAACTCACAGGGAATTCCCGAAAAATACTCAGTGCCGCAGGGAAGGTAATTTTTTCTCGGATAAGAACAGATTTTCCTGGAAAAATATATCTCGCGTAATGTTTTGGGCTATCCAATTTATACTGTTCATGAAAGCTCACATGCTACGCCTTTGTATTACTCATACTTATGCACATGGTTAGGTTATGTAGACTCTTTGGTCTGGCTTTGAGCAAAGAGATGAACGATACCGACCGTCCTAATTTTTAAAGGTTGTACTTCGTTGTTGGTATCTAGATATTTCATTTCCTGACAGGGTTGGTATCGTGTATGGTAAGTAAATATTGTGTTAGTAAATTAAACACATGTTTCATGCACTTACGTTTTGATATATTTAATATACAGACCTGCTTAAAAGGAGGTACGAGTATACACTAGATTAACCTTTAGGCAACAATGTAAACACACATACACGCTTTCATACACAAACACACACACACATAATATGTGCACACACGCACATACACACACGCACACACACACACACACACACACACACACACACACACACACACACA